CTCATATAACCATTACGTTATCGACCACTTATCAACCATAATGTTATATGTATGTTAGCTTACCATTACGTTATTGAACACTTACCAACACCATAGTGTTACATGTATGTTAGCATTACCAATACCCTACCATTACGTTATCAAACACTTACCAACACCTTAACACCTTTATTATTGTAATGTTGTAACCATTGAACTATAAATAAATAAAAAATTGTCATGCTGTGGAAATTATTTTCAGGATGTTGGACATTATTGAAAGCTATGAAGCAAAGATAGATGATCTGAAAGAAGAACTTGAACTTCTCAGGTGAGTATCTCAAGGCTRTAAAACTTGTAGATCACACATTATAACATCCCAAACTCAGGTTTGGAATCAAAGAGGTTTCTGTCCACTCCACATTTGGTGGTTATCATGGTCCTAATAATAGTGTTTCGATCGATATGGAGTCCAATGTGGGGGCAAAAATGGGGTTCATTCTGAAGAAGGCTATGATCATCAGCATGTAGCTGCATGTTCACTGACCGTGCAATTGCCCTCTGGAACCCAGGGTAATTGCTCCCTGTCCTCGCCCCCTGATCTCTATTTGCCTCGATTGTCAGCAAGCTGTATCCTCATTGTTAAGATCATTAATTTTTGTAAGGACGTTAGAATTCGTTTTTTGTCGTAATAATGGAGCGATGTGTTTGATAGGAGAGAAAGAGACAACCATAATGCTTCATACGTCGGATCCTACGGCGACATAGAAAGTGACTCTAACACAGTTACTGAAGAGGATTCAGAGAACCTCGCATCTGGAGAAACAAGTGATGAAGGCCAGTCATTTCCTGGCAGAACCTCACCGGTAGATGGTGGTCCTAAAACTGGCTCAGGTGGACGATGGAGGAAGGAAGGAAAACAACCAAAGAAGCTTAAAGAAGTAGAGGACAAGATTATTGTAAGTACTGATTACTTTTGACACTTTCTTTTGTTCATGAGACTGCGATGTAGAATGGGTGAGGCAAGTGTCTCGGAGAATTGTGATTGGATGACCAGGCACTGTGAGTCGTTTGCTTGATAACTATTGCTTCATACCATGGCTTGTGCAATGTGGACAGGAATGAACTGTATGGAAACAATACTATTACATGTGCATGATAGACATGACAAGTATAAACGTCATGATAGTGAGAACAATAATGCTCTATAACAAAAAAAACTGAGGTAGTTCTGAATGAGGAGTCAATCAGAATTGTGGAACACCACCTCCACAGTGTTAATTTGCCATGCCCCATCCTAAGTCACTGCGTAGATCTTGGTCCATTTGATACTTTCCTACTAGCAGAGTCTCCTTCATTGACGGAAATCTTGGCAAAGAAAGTCGCCAAAAATGGAGACTCTACTAGCAGGGAACCTGGATACTCGTCAGGAGTAAAATAATCAAAGGTATACTAATGTTGTTTGTTTCTTTTTTCAGTATTACGAAAAACACCTTAAAGATGCCAAGAAACTCATCAAACTGTTAGAGAGTGAAAACACACATTTGAAGATGGAACTCCAGACAAGGTAACAGTGTAAATGATTATAGCGGTACTGAGATATACACCTATTTCAATAAACGTTGTCATTGCCACAGGCGATAGGCAATAAGCGATAGGCGAAAAGCAATAGGAGATAGGTTATGCATGTCTAAGTACTGATATAAGCACTGAGAGAGATATTACCCTTGCTCAGGGATGAATTGATATTCGTCTCTTAAATTTTTGATTAAGTAATCTCTATGAATCAAAATATTCTGACAGTTGCTTGAGATCTGTAGATAGTCACCGGTTGCCTCGACTGCTGTTAGAGCAGCAAATGGATTATTGGGAAACTAACGTTACTGACTTACAGCATACGATATACATACGCAGGGGCGGATCCAGGAATTTTTCAAAGGGGGGTTATAGCAGGTACTTGAGGTACTTGTTTGGCGGGAAAGTAGCACAGGGTTCCCAAACGGAAGTAGGTCTTATGATAATGATTATTTGCTGCAGGCGAGCATGGTTGTTTCAGGTCCCACTAGCCACACACGGAGTATAGAAAAAAAGCGAGCGAAATGTGTTCGGCACCTCTGTTTTAATAAAACTCGCGATGCTGTTGGTGTTGTCATGAAAAAAATATTACAGCTATAGTATGAGTAACCCTCTTTATCTGAGATATGTCCGCGCTGTTTAGTATAACAATGAACAGAGGAGATTCTGTAAAAACGATGTCTGCAGATATGCAAACGAGTCATGTAAAATGACTTTTCTTTGCTCTGTTGCAATCAGCATCAGTTTGTAAATTTAGTAAATGTAGCGATTTTACACAAATTGTTTACATCTTGTCGCATTTTGCTTTGTGTCGTTTACAGGCCAATGCCAGAAGAAATGAAGAAAACCCGAAAATACAACAAAAAATTAGAAAAAATCCTGGCAGAAAACAATCTGATGTAAGGTTACTTACTGCATAAAGTATTTGCTCTGTAGTCCACGAAAATGTATTCTTGCGGAAGTGTGTCCCTTTTATATATATATTGTCGTTATTGTCTTGTAGACCACCTTCACGCAAGCGACATATAGAAAAAGACTCGACTGAAGCGGTTCAGAATAAAAGATACTCGACACACGTGAGTAGACTAAAGTCCCATTTAAGCCTGGTTCACACGAGCAACGCAAACGTAAACGCAAGCAAAAATACGTGTGAACGCAAATGCATTTGCACGTGAACGCAAGGAATGGATACTTTTTCATTTACTTGTGCTTGCGTGTTCATTTACGTTTTTAACGTGTGAACCGGGGACAACACAAACGCATTAACGTACATTAACGCAAACGTTACAAAGCACTACCGAGCTTGAGTATTTTTATCTGCTTTCATTTGTGTTTCACGTGTAAGCATTGCTTGCGCTTGCATTTGCGTAGCTCTAGCGAACCAGGCTTTATTTAACAATTATTCGCCGAAGGCGAAATGAATATCGGGGAATATTTACCGATACGCATGTCTTCGAGCGGCGAGATAAATATTCCCCGATATTTAGCCTGAGCCTGTAGGTGAATATAGCAGCATACAACGTTAATTGTGACCAATGAGCGCGCCGGATTTATTATATTCACTTGTGTAAAAATACTAACGCCTTATATTGGGTAGCGCTGTTATGAATCTTGATGCACTTTACTGTTGTATTGCACAGGTTGACGACATTGACTTACTGCCCATCGATGTGTGCAGGGCCTATCTGAAGGTAATCAGGATTTACGTTTTTAAATTGTTGCTGAAATTGTGCAATTTCATGCGCTCACAAGATAATGAACTGCGCGTCTTATCATTGAAAACAGTTACATGAGTATAACTTGCTATGTACTATCTTGATTATTATTTTGTGGCCCGTGAAGCTTAGATGCGCATGCAATCTTGATAGTGATCCGTTGTAAATGTAACAAGCGTGATTCTTTTTGTGCACTTTGTGCGGGATTGTCACAGTTTGACGTCGCAACAAACAACGGTTTTGTGGATATCACTCTATGCGTTTCTATTACATTTCATAGCCACGATAATAGGCAGATTAAGATTCCCGTTTTTCCTTCCCGCAAAAGGCAAACGTGACCACGTTTTCATCGTTTTCCTATATTTCACTTTACCTTTTGCAAACCGGCTTTCTCGACAAAGACAAGTATTCTTTTGTTTATCTACTACTTGGAGATTTTTGCGATTCCTTTTCACTAATTTTAAATAACTTTCTATTGGTCGACTGACATTTCGCGTTTGCCGTAAACGAGAATCTTAAACTCTGTAATGTCATAGAAATGTATACTACAATGGTCACAACAATAAGTTATTTTCCCCGTGCGCATGCGTAACAACTGTTTTATTTTTTCTTGCCTTCAGGAGATTTGTTCAGGTCTTGCAGTTCTTGATTTAAGAGATCTTGCAGACAGATTAAAGTCTATTGATTTGATGACTGAGGCTTTTCCAGCCATGGAGAAGGTACTTGATTAGTTTCATCAAAGTTAGAACTGAGTTAAAACTGTGCGCGTGTAATATCCTGATAGAGTGATGACAATTTACTAAGTCTGCACTTGACATTGTTGCCTTGTTTTCATTGACAGCTCATAACAGACACACTTGCCCTGACAGAAGAGAAAGGCACCCCGAAGCTTCCGCCTGAACACCTCCATCAGAGTGTAGACACACATGCAGTGTTCTGTCAGAGAGCTTGGCAGAATGTTATACCGACATTACGACTATGGGCCAAAGAACTACGCTCTCTTAAAGTAAGTGAAATAGTAACAATACTTCGTAAATCATTACCTTGTTTTTGTTTTTGTTGTGTTTTTTTTTTTACCATTCACGGTCAACTTTTATCATAGTTAACTTTTAACTTGGGCGTAAGGTTTTCCTTTTGCTTTTATAGTATTTCATGTATCTTCCCCTTGAGTATTATTCCTGTAATGCCTGAGATTTTAAATTTAATTTTACTAATTAGGGATTTTTTTAAACCATTTCGCTACTTCTATCCTCTGGGCCCGGTTGTACGAAGGGTGGATAGCGCTATCCAAAGGATAAATTCTTATCCAGTGGATAAGTCGATTCTGATATCCAATAAATTTATGTATTATATTCTTATTTGCGAAATTAGAGTAGCCTGCGTCACATCCGGAATTTTCTTCGAAAATACCTTCGAAAGAAAAGGCCGGATGGAACGCAGGCTATATTTAGAGCAGCTTTGCATACATTTGTAATGTGGGTCGACATACTTAGAGTCCAGCCAGCAGCCAAGATTTTGAACACAAGAACTAGAAATGATATTTTCCTTGCCTACCGAGATATTCACTAATTGAAGTTTACATAATTCCTGCCTGGTTAATTAAAAGTTTATCGTGGAACATCGAACACCGGATCTTCTATTGACCAATCATTGATTGGGTGAGGAAGCCATTTGAGAGACACGGTTTCATGAACCATACATTACTTATTCATACACCCTTTAGGTTTTTGGCTGGTCTTCTGTTAAAATCTTGCACTTCTATTGCACTGCTTACCTCTCTCCTTATGTCAAGTTGTCAACTTTTAACAGGATCTACAAAAAGCCATTATTGACCTGTCTATCAACCTGTTACCATGGAAACCAGAGTCCATGTTCCAACCCAAAGACAACAAGCCGCTAAGAGTAAAGGAGCTCAAAGCTTTAGTCGAGTCACTTAGCAACGAGGACAAACGAGCTCGGCCAAGCGATCTTCGAGGATCAGAGAAGCCTAGTCTGGAACAGTTACAGAGTATTGTTGCGCATTTCCAGAAACTCTTTGATGTGACAAGCATATCTGGTGTATTTCCTCGTATGAATGAACTGTACATGAGGGTAGGCGAGGTGTACAATGCTATGCATACTATTAGAGAACTGCTGAACTTAGGTGAGTTCTTGGGCAATTACACTGAAGTTTTGGTACACCTTTTGCCAGCAAACACATTTGTCCATACCAACCCTTATGAAATATATAATTTTGTGTCTCATGTTATGAGCTGAAACGTCTCCTCCTTACTAATATCCATGTCTTCTATTTATTTCTGGTGTTCATTTTGTCACAGCTGCTTGCTTAAAGGGAGGGGGGGTGTCACGTAACCAGTGCAAATGGCCTACAGCAGAACGTTACCACCGTCATCCCCCTCCCCCTTCAAACTCCTATGCCATTATTGCCTATTTAAACATGTTATAAGGTTTGGTACTCACCCCCGGTGTATTTATTTTGAAGATCCAACCTGTAAGTCAGGAGACGTTGTCAATGCAGTTGGTAAGCTGAGTAAAGCCAAGCACCTACTGAAAGTCGATGATCTCACAGGGTATGTATTGCTTGATAAAATAATACGGATATAAAGCTAACCACTTTAATAGGAATGTGTAACCTAGGGAATAGGATAACGACTGACAATCTTTCCCGCGTTTTCTAACGTTTATTGATTCTATTCTACAATTTCATTATCAATAAATGTAATGTTGAAAATGATACAGGATGTCATCGAAACGTCCAGCAATTCTTGCATTTATTTTCTTAATCAAATAAATGTAATACCAGTTTCTTTCAACCCTGGTAATTAATGCAAATACACCTCTTTATCTTGGGTGTAATGTTTTCCTAATTCAGACTATGTGCCATTCCCTAGAGTACTATTTCTTTCTTTAACGGTTGAGCACAAGAATCTTATTCTCAAGAGAATGACACGTGGTCTGAAATGGCAAAATATTACGCCTATTAGGAAGAGAAGGAGTTCCATATGCTAATAAATAACTCGTTTATCTTGGACTTATTCTTGTTACGAATATGTTGTTTTACCATGTTGTTGTTGTTTACTAGAGTAATCCAGCGACTCGAACAATATGATGAATTCTTCCCTCCTTTCCAAAGTATGGTCAAAGAACTCTGCAAACTATTAGGTAATCACATATCTCTTGTCCTGTACCATTCTCGTCCTCTTCTTCCTTCTTGTCCTTCTTCCCTCCTTTCCAAAGTATGGTCAAAGAACTCTGCAAACTATTAGGTAATCACATATCTCTTGTACTGTACCATTCTCGTCCTCTTCTTCCTTCTTGTCCTTCTTCCCTACTTTCCAAAGTATGGTCAAAGAACTCTGCAAACTATTAGGTAATCACATATCTCTTGTACTGTATCACCCTCTTCTTGCCTTCCTTCTCCAATAACTTACATTTCCGTACTTATTACTTATTACTTGTTTCCCGTTCTTCATAGGAGTCGAAAAGATGGACGAAATTGTCACAGCTGTTCGAGCTCTAATAAAATTTCCGAACTACTGATATTGAAATACTAAATCTTCCACACCTCACACCTCACCTCAAAGATCACTCAAAAATTTTATCAATTTATACATATTTAAGACTTTTAAAAAACTTCAAAAGTTTGTAAATGTAAAAATTAACATGAAAATAAAGAATTAAGCTACAATGCAATTAACCATGAAAGATTATGTTAACGCAAATACCACCATAATGATATATTTACCAAATGA